TTCCGATCAGACCTCGTGAAACGGATGAAGAGCCTTGGAACTTCCTTTATTATTATTTAGTAGAGGGTTTTACGGCCCTCGCAACTGCATAATGTCATATGAGCGCCAAGGAACCTCCTGACACAACACAGGTTCAGAAATGGCCCTGGAGGAGACTCGAACCACAGCCATTGGCGCTGACGCCCAGAATATGATGAGAATGGTAGCAACAGGGCTATCGATACTCGACCACAACAAAGAATACATCCTCCTCACACAATATGCAAACAAATTGGCTACCTCACACTAGAGGGATCACGACAACGGCGATATAAGCGATCTCCATGACCAAGGAGGCACATGCACAGAACAGCAGGTTAAAACAGTCTCATCATAAGCGAAGTCTTTCAATAAACATTTCATATCTCCAAACGCCAGTGAAGAATCCTTAACCTGATAGGCTCAAAGACTACCCTCGTTGGTCTTTACTTTATTAACTTTTTAAAAAGAAAACTAAGGGAAAAAAAGAAAAAAAAACCACATTACGTCACATGAACTCGACACAGTGGCCTACTTAACGTCGACACAGTGGCCTACTTAACGTCGACACAAAAGCTGAAGAGAAGTCCGTCCAACCCCACAGAGCATAAGATATTTTTTTTCCTTTTAAATTCCATATAATGCATCCATCGAATAGGTAACAGTAAGAGCAATAACGGCACGGCATGACTCCACTCCGCCTAATGAGAAAGGTAAGCCGACGACCAACGCAATGTCCCACCACACACCCCGGGACGGAGCACGCCATACGTCACACGTCCGGGCCAGGCGGTACCCGCACAGCGCGACGGAGGGGCACACAGGAGGGGAGACAGGCGTATGAGCTGCACACGACAGGCAGTGAGGCACCCGTTTCCAGGGGGGAACTTGTCAATAACCGGTTTACACTTAAACTGGGACTTTCGATCTCGTTTGAGGAAAAACGATGTACTTGCATTGAAATGGAACACACAAAAAGGAAAAAGAAAAGAAAAAGAAAAGAAAAAGAACAACCACAAACAACATTCTTTTTTTTTTTAATAAAAAAAATTTAAAGCAATAAACATATAAGTGACTAGAATCCAAACAACATTCTAAAGGGGGGGAAAAACAATTTAAAAAACAATAACAATATTAGTGACTAGAATCAGTTGTGACCCAAGCCAATTGATTTTTACTAAGAAATAGTCGATCAACCAGATTTTAGAGGTTCGGATAGTGCCCGGCATTTCGGACGCATATTATGTCATGGACGGCGATGAAAACACAAGTGGACTGCTGAAAGAAACGGCAGTGTTAGTTCCTGACGTAATAATGAGAACGCCAAAAAATAAAAGTACTTTTCCACATGGCAATATACATGTAGATAGATCCTTCTCGAAGTACATAACCCTATTAAACGCCCAGCATGTTTAGTTTTTCACAATAATTAGGTTTAGTTTTTTTAAGAGACCTCGGGGCTTCAGGAATCGGACGACACTCAGAAGCTATACTGGGG